CCCCAAAACCCCAAAACCCCAAAACCCCAAAACCCCAAAACCCCTCCTTGTTGTGAGCCCAAATGTTTAGTACTAATCTTAAACAATAAGTCTTCTTGTGCCTAAGGGCTGCTGGTCGAATTCAGAGATTTGTTCGGAAGAGTTGTTTTGGGACTTAAATTTGGCTGTGAAGGCTTTGAGGAGTTGGGACTTGGAAGTGGAGGTATTACGACATTTTTGGATGAGAGTATAACCACATAGTATCAAGAAAAGGATGTAAGAGAATGGGACTAAAGTTAGCTGCACTAGAATGATTTTAAAGTCACTGTTTACTACCTCAGGTAATACCATAGCTATTGAATTTACACATATTTGTATTTGACTTATCACTTGAATGATGTTTATCCATCATGTCAGAAAGTAATTCTTCCTAAACTTGAATGGATATAAATATGAAATATATGCCAACCAAAGAAATTGGATCACTGAGTTAGTCACATATGCCCATTTAGAAGGAAAATCTCCTCTATCAATAGCAAAAAGAGATATCATAAATAATCTCTTCAAAATTGCTAATGGGTGGTATAAATATCCTCCTGCTTGATGCCTTAAGCCTTGGTAAAATCATCTCAGTCCATTATTTGGTATTGCTTTACCATTCATAACAATCCTAGGCCAATGGATCAACAAAAGAGTTTCAAATAACAATGATAATATAATACAAATAATGAATCATGCGTAAATCAGCAAAGGAGGAATAATTCTTTGATCTGATGTATCAAACACTATTAAAATCATAAATGGCACATAAAGGTCCAAATAGATTCGACAGATATGAAAGTGTATCCCTGAATTGCTCTCAGGTTTCTTGAATATTCCAATCGCGAAGATGAACAGAAAGATACCGACAAATGCATAAAGAGCATAGAAACAATCAATATGAGTGATCAAAAATTTCAAAGTTATTTCAAAAGGGAATACAAATAAGTAGTAGGGAAACATGAATTGGAATATCCTTTCGTACAAATCAGTAACAACAAACCCCAGATACCCCTTCGAAGACTTATAAGCCAGATAAAACATATTCAGCTCCTGATAATGCTCCACTATCATCCACAGTACAGTATAAGGAATCACACTGAAGAGTACCAGAACAACTATGAGACAGAGGACAACAGTCAGGCTGATGTGAGTGAAGGAGAGGAGAACGAATGAACCTTTTTGTCTGACCTATGAGAGGAGTGAGGGGAGTGGCTTACTCATTGGGTAATCACAGTTTCATCCTGATCTTTCTTCTCATAATGATACTTTCATTTTCTTCAACCAGATTGATCGGAATTGTTTTGCGGGGTAGGTGTTTGTCATTCTGGACAGATGCTCATGCATTGTCCTCAATTAGCAACTCAGTTTTCAGAGATTGTTAATCTAACCACTTTCTCATGCTTCTGAACCTGAACTTGGAATTCAGCCTCATCCAAGAACACTTGTGTCTGAATTTTAAAGTAAAAAGTTGTTTCTTGTTCAACATGAGGGAGGTTATAGAAGTAGTCGTTCCCGAACCCAAAGTACTTTGAGGGGTCTTTAGGGACGTGGGTTGAAGGAAGAGATTTTATCTGCAACCCTTCTGGAAAAGACTTTGGGTTGTAGTGGAGTAATGTGTAGTTGAGGTTATAATTGTTCACACCTCCTTCAGAGAAATTTCAAGTGAAACTAAAGGGTTATTTAGGGAAATACTTCATATTCGTGAATTTTACAGGTAATATGCTATTGTTAAGTCTTAAATGCTCGAACTCAGTATTAAAACTTAAATTCGGCATCCTTAGTTTCTTGAATTTGAATGAGATGTCATTTTTCTGGCTGAAGTTTTTATGCTGTACAATCCTTGAAAAATCTAAGAAATGTTTGCTACATCATTAAATAGCTTTATTGTACTTTATAGTGATATTTTCTAACATCTTGGTCCTTCATTTGGCTCTTCTACTTGACAAACTATCTTCTAAACTTGGGTCTAGCTTGTATAAATTAAATTGTTCATAAGATTCTATGATTCATGGGAAAGCTTTTAAATCATATGAATAGTCCTCATGAGTAATAACTAGGTTCGCATTATTCTCAATTTTAAATAAGTCATCCTCTAGAAAGAATCAAAGTAAAGAGCTTACCATACAACTCAAGGCTTGAGATAACCCCAATGCTGCTGTAGGTTGTGTTCCACAAGTTTATTGAGGAAGAGTTAAACTGGTAAGCAAAGTAAAATCTCTTTTTATCAAAGTGATAAATCAATTTGCTAGAATCTGACTTTTTCTGTATCTCATATGTGAGGAATTCTTCTTCGTAGATAACGATCAAATCTTTAGAATCTCAGCTCAAGAACATGAATAGTTTTCCAGCATTCTCATGCATTCGGGATGTCGGATGACATGAGGAGTCTGCTTGATTTGCTCTGTTGAAAGAGTAAACATTTCCTGTATGTTTAAACGTTGTAGAGTTGAGTGTGAATAAGATAATATGAGATCCAAGATCTAAGAATAAATCTATTTCCTGCTCATCCTCTACAAAATGACCGCTACTAAGTGATTTAGGAGAGATATCAAAGAAATTAAACATAATATCTAAGTAAAAAGACTCGCTTTGTGAGTAATCAATCATTTTAACCTTCAATGACTTCATAGTTTCGCTTTCTTGGTCTTTGTAGCTTGTGTGTATAAGTCTGTTGCTATCTAAAATCAGGATCATACTGCTTTTATAGAAACGATTCTGTTCTGATCATGATGCTTCCTCACTTCCAATGGAATACTTTCATATCACTTCTCTGTCATTGCTCTTAGCATTGAAATAGATTTCTCCTGAGTTTAGGCATCTTAGCAATGGCCAAGATGCATGAAATAGGTTTGTAAAAATCAGCTGTGTGATCTCTGATAGTTCTGAATCAAAGTTGATACTCACAATCTTGACCAAGCTTTGATCGGAGTCTGGTTTCACAACATAATACAAGTAATCTATATTCTGGTTAACTTTTGATCATATTAGGAATTATATCTTCTAAACTCAGGTTTAGTCTTTACAATGCTATTGAATAGATGAAACAAGATATGAAAATGCTATGATTCTATTAATAGTTTGTGTTTCATTTTTGAAGAACAATTTATTCCTTGATTCGATGGAAATTTAATATTGATAATTTTATTTCTTCCTCAATTATTTTATCTAATTGTGGGGTAATATGCTAAAGTTTTCACTCACTTACCTTTAAATACCTTCAACTAAAACACAAGATGCTTGACTAGAAGCCATCTGAGGCACTTCGAACACCTGAGGGTCATTGTCTTCAGGAGATTCAGTTCTTACAATGATCCCTTTGTCTTCCGCTTCGCCCATGAGAGTGGTCTTAACTCCATCACTGAAGATCAACTGGCTTATGAACTTTCCATCAGTTGTTAACACATCTACATCTGTTCTACGAATCTGATTTTTGAGTGTCATGCCTGAATCTACTCATGAGAAGGCACTGATCAAAGGAACTAAGATATACAATAAATACACAAAGAAAAACTTCATCTTAATTTTCCAATATTTTTATAACCCATCGGGGTTTTGGGGTTTTGGGGTTTTGGGGTTTTGGGG